CCCCCAAAACCCCAAAACCCCAAAACCCCAAAATATTATAAAATATTGAGAATTTACACCTTAATAGAACCCATGAATTTTGACTCTATTGAAGCCATATTTATTCAGCTTTCTTCTGACATACTTCTCACTAATGTTGCATGACGAGATGCTAATTTGTTCCAAGGTGCTTATCAAGTCAGTTGTGGAAAGTCCATATATAAGGTTTTCAAATTGGTGTAAGTTGTTATCCCAATCACTCAGTTTTGAAATGCCTCAAAGCTCAAAATCTAAATGTTTTATTGCACACCCCTTCAGAGCCTTATCTAGGTCAGGGACTGTGGGTGTCATCACCTTGCATTTCTTGAGCATGAATTCTTTGATCGATCTGTACGCAAATAGAAGTTTCTTCAACTGTATTTCATTGATGGAGAAATTTCATATGTGGACTTCTTTCATTACTCTATGGCTAACACTGGTGATATCTTTGAGGTAGAAACTAATATCGAGCAAGTTATCGTTTCTTCCGTTAAATCTAAATCTCTCAGTCTTGGCTGGGAAGCAGTTCTTCAAGAGCAACTTGCTCCTTCTAGTGAGAGCTGGCACATGGTCAATAAAGAAGTTGTATGAGCCAGCTTGAGTTAAGGTCGAGCTTTGCTTTAAATACACTTCCTCATCCTTGTTTTTAAGGTTAACAAAATTAATATTTCTGCCTTGGGTAATATATCCTCCGACTGTCTTAATGTAGAGCTCTTTTCACATATCAGTGTCGAGCTTCAGGGACTCAGATAGAATATCTTCTTCAAAATTAAGCTGCTTTACCATTTCAAGAGGTACTCCAGTATCATGAGGAGCTTCTGGCATCAGCATATTTTCTTTGGACTCTGAAATAGTTTGATGACATTCTTGAAGAAGAGTGCTGACAGTAGCACCCATATCGCTGTATCTGACTCTGTAGTCATCAGGATAGGCTCCTTGGTACTTCCATTTAGAGCGTTCCATGTGCTCATTTACGATTCCGAGTACTTTATTGATTTGAGAGACTCTCATCGGGTAATCTGATTTTGTAAGTTCGCTATAGAGTTCAAATATTCTCTGAGCTTGAGCAGCTAATGTCTCATAGAACTCTAATTCCTCGTAATCTTTGTCCAGTTGTGGAGGCGGTTGAGTAAATAAGGAACAGTTGCTAAGGAAACTGTCTCTTATGTCTAAGCCGATGTCTGCTTTTGTATCAATTTTTCGAAGTACTCAATAGCACTGAGATGATCCCATACTAGGTCAAAATAATTTCAATGTTATTTGACACCTGTGGGGTTTTGGGGTTTTGGGGTTTTGGGGTTTTGGGG